ACATGCACTTTTTGCAACACTGATATTGAGACTACAGAGCACCTTTTTTATTCATGTGAAAGTTCCAGATCTTTTTGGGATGATTTTCAGTACTGGTTAACCTCTAAAAATATTGACTGCCCTTCTCTAACCTTTCAAGTAATTAGATTTGGCCTACAAACAGAAAATAAGAAAATAGAATTTGGGATTAACAACTTATTTATAGTTGCAAAATTTTTCATTCATAAATGTCGCTTCTTGAAAATTACTCCGATTTTTGCTGGCTTTAAAAACGAAGTCCTTCTATTGAAGGCTTCATTAGACAAGTGTAACTTAAATAAAGCTCACACCTTACTTGAATTTTTGATGCTGCTTTTCAACTGATGTAGCTAGACTGTGTGTGCGTACTTTTGTTTTTTTTTGTATCTATATTGAATTTCTTGTGAAGATAGTCCTTGGACGGGTATATGGCATTTAAGATTTTAAAGTGATTTTCTTTTGCTTTTGGTGGAATTGGAAAAGAAAGATACTTAGTCAAAAACCTCGAATTATAATCTTTAAACAGATATTTTCTTTTTAATTGAGAAGGAAAAAGTTGTTTTGTTAGAATTGTCCTTAAAAATTTAATATTGCATGTCTTTCCTTTAAATTGACGATCATCAATAATTAAGGACGGTTCACGAATTATAGAGGAAGAATAGGTTAAACTGGCTTTAGCCATCTGAATCATTGCAGGGGGAATGGCTTTCACAACTTTAATGAATTTACTTTGAGTACATGATAAGTCATAATTATCTACGATAATACATTGCCGTCATTGTCTAAAAGGTGTAAAATGGTCCAAATTCCATGATCCCTCCAATCCTTATAAAAGATGGATTTTCTTTTTATCAATATACATCTGTTGTTCCAAATTGAATTTGTATGTGGAGAAAAATTATGCTTGTAAATCATTTTCCAGTACTGGAGAACCTGTTTATGAAAATTGGATAATTTAATTGGTAATTTGGAAATTTCTAAGTCACATTTTAAGAGAAATTCAATGCCACCAAGCTTCTCGAAAATTACTTTGGGGAAATAAAACCAAATACTGTTTGAGTTATTTATGAAAGACTGCAACCATTTGAGTTTGATGGAACCATCCATTGCTCAAAATCAATCGCATTCAAACCTCCTTCTTCAAATGATTTCACTACATCGTTTTTCCTAATATAATGTTGCTTGTTTCTCCAAATGTAATTAAAGTGAATTTGATTTATATTATTGATTAGTCTATTGGAAACATATAAGCATTTGATGGAAAAATCAGTCGAGAGATACCTTCTGTTTTAGTAAGCAAGACGCGTCCAAAGATGGAGAGGTCTCTTTGTAACCAGCTGATTAGGATCTTTTTAGATTTCTGCTCAAAATTTAGATTTTCTCTATTGTTTGTATTCTTTGAGATTATAATACCCAAATATTTAATTTCAGTTTTTATAGTTATGTTAAGAGAGATATTGGGTTTACAATCATGAATAGTTAATAATTCGCATTTTCTAATATTCAGGTACAAACCAGAGGCCTTTGAAAATAGTGAAATTTCATTTAGTGCAAGAGGAACCTGTGACATGTTCTTTAAAAACAGTGTAGTATCATCTGCTAATTGACTTATGATCAATGGGGCTCCCATCAAATTCAGTGGTTGAATATTTGGATTGTGTTTCATGAAAATAGCTAAAAGTTCCGTTACAATAATGAAAAGTAACGGAGAAGCTGGACACCCCTGACGGATTCCTCGACTGATGTTAAATCGTTTAGATGTTTCAAAAGGTAAAGAAATAGAACTATTGATGTCAGAGTATAATAAAGAAATTAAATCTATGAATTTTTTTTACCAAAATACTGTAAAGCTTTTAAAATGAAAGGATGTTCAACCGTATCAAATGCTTTATAAAAGTCTACAAAAAGAATCACACCATCATCTTCAATTAAGTGATTATAATCCAGTAGATCTAAAACCAATCTAATATTATTGTGGATAGAACGATTTTTAAGGAACCCAGATTGTGTTTCACTAATAATCTGATCTAAGCCGTCCTTTAATCCGTTTGCAATAACATGAGCAAGAATTTTATAATCTGTATTCAATAGAGTAATTTGTCGTAGATTATCGATTAATCTTTTATCTTTACCAGGTTTGGGAATAAGGGAGATAAGACCCTGTTTCATTGCCGTTGCTAATGTTTCATTACTAATGATTTCCTTAATAGTTTTGAAGAAAAATTCTTTTATTTCTTTCCAGAAGAATTTATAAAAGATGGCAGTCAAGCCATCCCGACCAGGAGCTTTGTCCATTTTCAGTTTGTTTAAGGCTTGATCTAAGTCATCCAGTGATATATCAGAATCACAAATTTCTCTGAATACAGAATCGATTTTTGGAATATAAGGTTCAATCTGATCAAAACAAAAGGGATTTCTTATCAGCCTCTGACATAAAATGTCTATTACAATAGTTATTTATATTGTAAAGTAATTTACTTTCAAATTCCTTCTGTTGTCTACTTTTCATTTTACTAAACGTAATTGAAAATTCTCTAACTTTAAATTTAAAAAATTCCCATCTATGTATGTAATTGCCAATTGTTACATTGTTGTAAATGTTATGGAGGAGCTCTTTAACTATCTTAACATACCCGTCATCAATTAATAGATCTGCATTAAATTTCCAGTAATCTTTTTTAAACTGCGTTTTATTTTCAGGGTTAAGTTTAAAAGTAATAATACTGTGATCTGTCAACGGGGCTGCTGAGATGGAAACATGTGAAACATATCTATAAAGTAAAGTCGAGCCCAACCACAGATCTAATCTGGACATATTATTACCATTTGGTTTAATCCAAGAGAATTGAGTAACTCCAGGGTTTTTCTCTCTCCATATATCACTTAAATTGTTTGAATCAATGAACTTTGTTAGAATTGGATTCCACTGATTAATACTGTATCTAGGAGGATTTCTATCCTGCCATTCATTTGGAACAAGATTAAAGTCACCGCCTAGTAATACATGGTCTGTGTGGTATAAAAGTTTATACTCGGAAAGGACATCTGTTATTTTTTCCAGCATGAGCTTATTTAGAGTTACAGAGGAGTACCCATAAACATTTACTAGAATCACAAATGAACCATCAATATTCAATACAACTGCCAGCCAGTGTCCTGAATTATCAGCCTGAAAAGTCACAACCTTCCCTGGACATCGGTAGAAACAGAGAGCTACTCCAGCAGAGTGGTTGGATCCGTGGCTGAACCCCACTGATTTGACCAGAAGGTGGCATCAGGGTCACTTGAATGAGTTTCTTGTAGTAAGGCGCAATTCGCTTTTAGCCCTTTGATAAACAAAAACATTTCTTTTAACGTTATCCCTGAGACCTCTAACACTCAACGACACAAAGGATAAAAATGTGCGTAGGATAAAAAAAAAAACAGAGTTCAAAATATTAAGAATATCAAACTTGAATATATACAAAAAAGAAAAATTTAGTTTACTTTCCTGTTTAGGGAAAGGTGAAAGAACAGCGGTGCCGGCACCTCCTATCCCATTCAAAACTGTCAAACGTCCCTCTTTATGTAGAGTTCAGAGAATAAGTAAAAATGAATACTTTTCAGCCATCCGCCAGAACGCGACAGCTGTTAATATAACCGACAGCTCCTTTGTAGTAAGCCTTCTCCCCCGCATTTCTGGCTTGTAAAATTTTCGGCCAAACTTTCTCCCTCTCCACACAATCCTTCTTCGTCAAGTCCTCGGCAAAACGGATTTTTTTCACTCTCACAAATCTGAGCATTTTTGGACTATTATACTCCATATTCTATCTCGGTGTAGGCACTTTATGAACTGAATTATGACTTGGCGATTTCTGCCCTCTTCTTTTCTTCCAATCTGGTGCACAGTGTCCACAATCTCCTCCATATTATCTGACCATTCTGGGGCGATCTTGGCGAGAATTTCGATCACCTCTTTTCTGATATCTTCGCCCATGCCTTCTTTCATTCCTTTAATCCTGAGATTTTACCTTCGTGAATACCGGTCTCGTTCTCTTGCCTTTTCTTTGAGTTTGTCAACTTCTCTCCGTAAGGTTGAGGCTTCCTTCTCCAAACCCGCGATTTTATCTTTACAATCACGGACTTCAGCTGCATTGAATTCAATGGACTCAGCAAGACTGGCAATCAACGAGGCATTCTCCGATAATTTGTTGTCATCTTGTTTATCAAATCGCACGTGGAGAGCTTGAATAGCTGGCAGGATGTCGCTCGCTGTGGGACTGGGTTTAGCAATCTTTCTCGGATGGTCACCTTTAGACGGAGTCGAGAGAAGCAAGTCATTCATTTCCTTTTAACCCTTGTATGGTGTTCAGGTCTGTGAGACCCATTTTTAGTTTTTCTCAAAAGAAAAATTAAACAATTAATTATTTTTTCAACCTGAAATTCATTGGCTTTGGCTTATTTTCTGTGAAGAACATAAATCCGAACTAATTTTCAATGACCTCATACTGTACCTCCCCCAGGAGGAGGACAGTAAGGCAGAAGATTGCATCCAGAGAAATGTCTCAGACATTCCCACAACAAGTGATGAAACACACACTTCAGGCAGAATTTGTGGAGCCACAGGGGCCGGAAAAGGCATTCATGTGTTATCGATCATTCCTGTGTGGGTTAAGTTGAAGAAAGGCAATAAGTTGATTGAGACTTATGCATTCATGGACAATGGGAGCCAAGCCACGTTTTGTTCAGAAAAGCTGATGAGACAACTGGGTGTAGAAGGTAAGAAGACAAAATTCATGCTTCGCACAATGGGACAAGAAAAGATGGTGACAAGTTACCACCTGTCAGGATTAGAAGTGTGTGGTTTAAATGAGAACACCTACATAGATCTTCCTGACATTTACACTCATGCAGACATTCCAGTGTCTAGAGAGAACATCCCTACACAGGATGACTTAAAAAGGTGGCCACATCGCTTACCTGCTGCTCTCTGGCAGGTAGCTCCATGCCCTCCTGGGTTTTAAATGCACCTTAGAACACACATGCATCAACACTACAATGAGCGGGTGGAGGGAGGTTTGGAGTCTTCTCTCACCCCCGTTCTCTGCGGCCTGCTGGAGCGGGGGGGCTAGGAGGAGGAGTTGGCCGTCCGACTGCGGTCTGGAGTGTGGGGCCTCCCTGCTGCTGCGGAGTCGGGGCGGTCTGCCTCTCCCCACCGCAGGGAAAAGGGTAACACCACCTGGGTCTGGGTGCAGTTCCCCCCTCCAGGGGCAAGGGTACCTAGACCCGGTTTAGAGTACGCTTGGGGAGTGTGATCGTGTGTACAGCGTCTCTTTATGTCTGTCTCCACGTTGGTTGAGTGTGGAGTAAGTGCATATGAGAGCATGAGGGTGGGAATGGATGTTTGTATCTGTGTGTGCCTGTATGTCTGTGTCTATATGTCAGGTTGGGTATCAGACGCCACCTCTCTGGGGACATCTCAGGCCCTCCAAGGTTTGGAGGCCTATCTCCCACCACCACCACTTCCCCTGCCAGTGGCGGACTCCCTCAGACATCGGTGCGTTGGTGGTTCTTTGTGTCTGGGGATGGGCGTCCAGGTACACACCGGCTCACTCCTTGGCGGCCGCTTATCGGGGCCTGGAGCCTGGGGCTCGGTCACTCAGGCACAGCTGGCTGCCGGCGGAGCTCACGGGCGCGTCACTGCAACCCCCCCTGGCTTCTGCTCCGCGGCTGCTGAGTGAGCCCTCATCTGGGACTCTCCTCAGCTCTTTCTGGGACAGTGGCGCGGCTGCCCCTCTGTTGGTCTTCCTTGGTCTCTTGTGTTCTGGGGGCCTCTGGATGTCTGGAGTTTTGATCTCCTCCATACCTGCTTCATGCCCTGGAGGACGGGGCTGTGGCCCCCCCACACCCTCTAGCAGATCATTACATGAAGGAACCTTTTAAAAAACAAAAAACAAGCGCGTCCATGCTCACAGGTGTACACACGGGTGATCACACCCACAAACTACACCCTTTTTGGCTCCTACCTCAAAGCACACTGTGTTCTGTTGATCTTATGTGCTGCACAATAATGTTTAATATTTAGTATTTACTGTCATATTCCCATATATCATTGTGATGTTGTTTATTCTATTACTCTTGTTCTCTTCTGCTTGTTTTCTTTTTTCTTTCTCAGCAGGTGATCCAGGTGATTGATATATGCATTTTTTTCTGCCCATTCTGTTGGTTTTTGTCTTTTGCCCTTCTCCCCCGTCCCTCTTCTCAGCTGTTTCTCTTTCCCTCTTTCTTTCTCCCCTTCTTTCCCCCAGTCAAGTCTGTCCCGTATTCAGTAAGTGAAAATAAAATAAACAATAAAAGGTGAATCAAATGGACCATTACGGCAAGGCTGGGATGGTCAATTTGGTAAAGTAAATCCGTTGGGCATCTTTCTTTGCCTTTAGACAACAATTCTGATGGCAAAAGAGCCAAACGGGACAGGCAAAAAAAAAAAAAAAAAAAAAAAAAAAAAAGGTGGCCACATCTTCGGCAAATCAAGTTCCCACATTCAGACGCAGACATTGGACTTTTGATAGGATGTGATGTGCACAAGGCTATGGAACCATGGGAGATTATTCATAGTAACGATGCTGTTCGAACAGTCCTGGGTTGGGTTATCAATGGCCCTCTCAAGAGAGATTCTTGCTCTACTCCTTCTGACAGAGAGCTGAGTGTTTCAGTAAATCGCATCTCTGTCACTAATGTTGAGAATCTTTTGATGCAACAGCTCAACTATGATTTTCCAGAGAAAGCTTCTGAGGAAAAACAGGAAATGTCACGAGAAGACATCATGTTTATGGATTCTGTCAATGGCACAGCTGGAAGGATTAATGGTCATTATAGCATAGGTCTTCCTTTGAGAAACAAAGCTGTCAAAATGCCAAACAACCGCAGTGCAGTAATGCAGAGGGCAGAGAATCTGAAAAGAAAATTAATCAGAAACACAGAGTTTCACAAGGAGTATCAGAGCTTCATGTCTGACTTGCTGAATAAAGGCTACGCAGTTCAGGTACCAAACACAAAGACTACCCCTGAAAATGAGAGAGTTTGGTACATACCACACCATGGGGTGTACCACCCCCAGAAAAGAAAACTCCGTGTAGTTTTTGACTGTGCAGCATCCTTTCAAGGGAAATCACTGAACGAAGAACTCTTGCAGGGGCCAGACCTAACGAACACACTGATTGGGGTACTAACAAGGTTTAGGTGGGATCACATTGCCTTGATGTCAGACATAGAAGCTATGTATCACCAGGTGCGAGTACCTCCAGAGGACAGTGATCTTTTGCGTTTTCTCTGGTGGCCAAATGGGAACTTGAATGAACCTCTGCAAGAATACAAAATGATGGTGCACTTGTTTGGGGCAACATCCTCCCCAAGCTGTGCAAACTATGCACTAAACAAAGCAGCAGAAGATGCTAAAGAAAAAATGCCACTAGCAGCAGTTAATGCTGTTCTGAACAATTTTTATGTAGATGATTGTCTTCTGTCAGTTTCAGATGAAACAGAGGCATGTACTATGGTCAGGGACCTGACTGCATTGTGTGAGAGTGGAGGATTTCACTTAACAAAGTGGATGAGCAACAGCAGAGTTGTCCTTGCTTCCATTCCTGAAAAGGAAAGAGCAAAAGAGATGAAAGATTTGGATTTGAGACATGATGCACTACCAGATGAAAGAGTCCTAGGAGTGAACTGGTGCACAGAGACAGATGTATTCAAGATCAGGATGACTGAAAAATCTGTGCCAAAGACTAGGCGAGGCATCCTCTCATTTGTAAGTGCAATATATGACCCATTGGGCTTTTTGTCTCCTGTCATTCTGACAGCAAAAATCATCCTGCGAGAGCTATGTGGCAGGAAGATTTCATGGGATGAGGAAATCCCAGCTGAACTGGCTCAAAGGTCACAAGTTTGGCATTCAGAGCTTTCAAAACTTCATGGCTTTACCGTCAACAGGTGTTTGAAACCTGCTGGATTTGGAGTGGTCATATCTACACAATTGCACCACTTCGCTGATGCCAGTGAGAGAGGTTACGGAGTCGTTACTTACCTCCGTATCACAAACCAGAAAAGAGAAACTCACTGCTCATTCATTATGGGCAAGTCCAGAGTGTCTCCTCTGAAGCAGATAACAATTCCACGTCTGGAGTTGACAGCAGCTGCAGTTGCTGTAAAAATGGACAAGCTCATGAGAAAGGAGCTGCAAATGCCACAAGAAGAATCTGTGTTTTGGTCTGACAGTAGCACTGTTTTAAAGTACATTTCCAGCGAGAACATCAGATTTAAGACATTTGTAGCAAATAGAGTGTCACTTATTAGAGACAACACAAAACCAAGTCAGTGGATGTATGTAAACTCTGAATTAAACCCTGCTGACCACGCTTCAAGAGGAATGAACACAGACACATTCATGAAGTGTTCAAACTGGATTGCTGGGCCAGAGTTTTTGACAAAAGATAAAAAAACTGGCCAATTCCACCGGACATTAAAGAAATACCAAAAAATGAGTCGAAGTCAAAGAGGTGATGAGTGTGGATGTTACAAAATTACATGAAAATCCAGTGAACAAACTGATCTCTCACTATTCAGACTGGTACCGTCTAAAAAAGGCAGTTTCCTGGATACTTACGTTCAAGCAGCTGCTTGGCAGGTTAAGTGCGAAGCTTCTCATGTCACAAGCAAGTGGCTGTGACAGCAGTAAAAGGAAATCTGAAAGGGTTGCAGGTCAAATGCAGCAGTTCAAAACATGTATTAAGGGATCTTCACTTACCACTGCAGATGTTGCAAAGGGAGAAACTGAGATTGTCAAGTTTTGTCAAAATCAAAGCTTCGCAGAAGAAATTGCAAGTCTTCAAAAAGGTGACAAGCTTAAAAGGAGCAGTCACATTGTGAAGCTGGATCCTTTTGTCCAGGATGGAGTTTTAAGGGTTGGCGGTAGGTTGCATGAGTCTGCACTACCAGCCGATGTTAAGCATCAAGTGATTCTCCCTAAAGGTCATCATGTTTCTACTTTGATTCTGAGACACATTCACCAAGAAACAGGCCATGGAGGAAGGAATTACATATTATCCAGGCTGAGAGAAAGATTCTGGATTCCACAGGCAGATTCAGCAATAAGAAAGATCCTGTCAAAGTGTGTAACATGTAGAAGGACATCTGCGAAACCTGGTGAACAAAGAATGGCAAACTTGCCACAAGATCGCCTGATTCCTGACAAACCTCCATTCACAAATGTGGGCGTAGACTATTTTGGACCTTTTGAGGTCAAGCATGGGCGCAGCAGAGTTAAGCGATATGGTGTATTGTTTACATGTCTTGCTGTTAGAGCAATACACATAGAAGTTGCCCACTCACTTGAGACTGATTCTTGCATAAATGCATTCAGAGGTTTATTGCAAGACGAGGTCAAGTGTCTGTCATGAGATCAGGACAATGGCACTAACCTTGTGGGTGCAGAAAGGGAAATGCGTGAAGCAATCAAGGGATGGAATCATTCAAAAATCTCAGAAATGCTCATGCAAAAGGGCATCACCTGGATATTTAACCCCCCAGCAGGGTCACATTTTGGAGGAATCTGGGAGAGACAAATTCGCTCAGTTAGGAGAATTCTTAACCAGATCCTAAAGCAGCAACCTCTGGATGATGAATGCTTGCGGACATTGCTATGTGAAGTTGAAGCAATTGTCAACGGCAGGCCAATAACAAGAGCGTCTAATGACCCCAATGATTTAGACGCACTTACACCTAATCATCTACTTCTTCTTAAAGGGCAGCCAGTACTGCCACCTGGATTGTTTCAAAGAGAGGACTTGTATGCAAAAAAAAGGTGGAGACAGGTGCAGTACCTGTCAGACATTTTTTGGAAGCGTTGGACTAAAGAGTATTTGCCGCTTCTACAAGAAAGACAGAAGTGGTTAGTGACTAGGAGAAATCTGAGACCAGGAGATGTTGTTCTCATAGTTGATGACAGTGCACCAAGAAGTTCCTGGTTAATGGGAAAGGTTGAGAGAACAGTTCCAGACTCACATGGACTTGTCAGACGTGTGTTTGTCAAAACCAAAACTAGCGTTTTGGAGAGGCCTATCGACAAGTTATGTTTGTTGCTTGAAATGGAGGCAACAGTTTGAATCTCAGCCTCATGTGTAACAGATATAGGTTCAACACATATGACTTATGTTTCATATAATGTTTGGTTACGCCAGTTAGATTCTGAGTGTTGATATTAAATGACGCTTTATTGTGTTAATATGTAATTGTTATGCCTTAGCAGTAACAATTAGGGGCCGGAATGTTAGCGCCATTTATAGTTATTACATGTTTTATTTTGAAAGGCCTGAAAAGGATATGGTGCTTTTGTTGTGAAAGGTTTGTAAAAAATAAAGCAAGCGAATGGCGGAGCGACACGATGGTTTTACCGTCGTTGTTGCACAAACCGACGCGTAAAACAGCCTCTTGTCCATCCAGACTCTTATTTTAGATATAAGAAAATAGAGAACTCCAAGAAGAAACAAAGATTGTTAATACTGATTGTAATGGCTATCATTATGTGATCAGCAGCTCTTCACAGACACTGGGTCAGTTCATCCGCCAGCACATTTAACACACATAAAGCAGCAAGGCAGCAGTTCTCTATAAAATGTTCACAATACTTGATTGCACAACGTCATCAAAGAGCAGATTAGTGGAAGCTGAAGAGGTTCAGTAATTTACACTGACATCACATTAACACAAAAACGGTAAAAATAAAACATCTGAAGATCACATTCACAAATATTTCGATTCAGTTTATTTAAAGTCCCCACACCACATTTTCAGTTTCCGATTTATTTTGCAGTGATTGCCATTCAAACATTCAAAATGACATTCATTTAAAGAAATCTCACGAAAACTCTTTTTTTCAATCAAGAAATTTAAACAACTCTGTAATTTTATTCTTAAGAAATGAGATCAAATGAATGGCTTGGAGTTCTTAAGTCCTGTACAGGACCTACAGGACTCGTGTCCACTTTGCTTCCTGCACAGACTCACTCGAAACCTGAACTTAATGAACATACAATAAAAAAACGTTCATGGGTATTCACGGTTACGGTCTGGACTTGGTCCCTGGTACAATGCTGCCAAAAACAATCATTTACACATGATTTACTGGTGATTTTGAACTTATTGCTTAATACCATTTATCCTAAATAAAGCCCTTGCTAGGCCTGATGTATGTTAGCAATCACCAATCACAAGCACTAAGGCAATGTTAAGACTGCATTAAAGATCAGTTTTAAGAGTGTAATCTGAAATTAGTTCCAGCCTAGAATTCATAGGCTCTGTAAGCCTTTGCGGATAAAAACATTTTGTGTTATAACTTTGTGTTTTAATCAAATGCACAATGACCATCTATCTTAGCACCCGGATAAACTTGTACTGAATTTCTTTTGTTGTCCAAGTAGTATCAAATTCTCTCTTAAAAATGATAGTTAAAAAAAAGAACAACAACATCCATCAGTTGATGCTTTGGGTGAAGTGTTCTCCAGAGTACTGGCCATAGTGCACAATATCCCTCTGGGCTGCAGCCCACGACATGTAGTTGCTGCTGAAGCGGGCAGCCCAGTGGCCCTGAGGATCCACTGTCACTACCCCGCCTAGCCCCCCAAGTCTGGACTGCATGCAGGCCAGGCCCAAGTCACTGGCATCTTCTACCGACCGACCTGACAAAAGAGGAGACACAAGAAACAGCACTTTAACTCTTTTTGTTTTAATTGAACAGTCTGGAGAGAGGCTCATTGTTACAGTTAGCATTTGTGCTAAAGTCAAAACTTGGTTACAGGAAGAAAACAAGAAGAGCTTTACTGGGATAATTGGTATACTGCTACAGTGAAGGGCAAATCAAGGAAAAACAAACAAAAACCTAGGTCCAAATAGCTTCCAGGACCCCAGAAACAGTGCGTGCAAGTCCCATGGGTAAAAAGGCTTAGTCGCGGCTCCTCTGAGGAGTTTTAGTTTTTTTCTGGATGTAAATAAATCAAATATGAGAGCTGAAGCTGTGTGTGGCAAAGTGTTACCAACCTCGCAGCTGGTTCTCAACCCCCTCAGCCACAGTGGCTCAGATTTGTGTGTGTGTGTACATGTTTAGACATCTTTGTGAGGACAGAAAATTGGCATGCTACTATACTTTTGGGGACCAACAGTCACTCACGGGGACAAGATGCCCATCCCCACAAGTCTGAAGGCATTTTTTAAGCTCAAAGTGTGGTTTTAGTGTCTGGGTTACAACTAGGTTATGGTTAGGCATTCATTTTTGATGGTTAGGGTCAGGGTAAGCGCTGGGGAAAGCATTATGTCAATGAGATGTATTTACTAAGATATGAAAACAAGTGTGTGTGTGTGTGTGTGTGTGTTACCTTGCTCCATGTGGAACAGGATGAGTCTGGCCAGTGTAATCTTCATGATGGTCTCACCGTGGCCTGTGGTGGACACTGCTCCTGACTGGTTGTCAGCATACCCTCCAGACCCTGACAAAGACAAAATATTTCAGCCGTCCTGCACAGCTTACTGAGCTGTTCTCTGGATCTTCCTGCAGCTATAAGCAGGTTTGGAAGCTTTATGAAAACACTGGCAACACCCAGAGGCAGCCCTGGGAGAACAGATTTTAGCCGTGTCTTTAATGATAAACTGACAGATGGCTAATGCTGCTGTTGTGTAGTCACAATTCTAATAATTGAACGGCTAATGTTATTATGTGCACCAGACGAGCATCATAACATTTATGATGACTGTTTAATATTTTGATGTTGTGAAACAGGAGCTTTACTGACCTCCCAAAATGCCTTATAAGGACCAGGGAGGTGTGTTCTGCTGCTAGTGAGAGGCGGGGGATATGAATGTTGTGTGAAGCAGCTGGAGAAGGTGCAGATGGCATTGCTTGTATCAACACTATTGCAGATGTAACATACAGTTTATGGCACAACCTTACTTACATTCATTTGAGTCTGATCTCCCCACTGAGTTTGCAGTTTTGGTGCCTTTTGGAACATTTGAATGTAATATTTTGGCTAATATTATGGCCGTTTGTGCAACATTGTCGCAGTTGAAACACTAAATACATTGAGCAAGCCACTTGGGTGACACATGGGTGTCAGACTGAATACATCTGTCTTTTATATACAGTCTATCTACATGCCACCTTGTATGTTCTTGAAACAGCATTTGGACATTTAATACTGTCAATAAATAGGCTCTGCTATGAAATGTTGAAGAGGTTGTTATTAAAAACATTTTTTGAAGTCTCACCTGCACATGGATGCAGTTACACATTTATTTCACTAGATGGAAGACTAAGGCTTTCCCTTAAATTTGCTTGAACTGAACCACAGCAGGCAGCAACACTGTTGTGATTCAGACTTTTGGTTGTTGTAATCAAATGAATGAAATAAGTTCCAGTTCCTTTTGCAAAGCAGCCCACTGCTTTAAAACTTTGATTCTGCACATTTGTCTCTTTAATCAATGTTCTGCACTAGTTTCGGACATTTTGCCCAAGTTTTGCAGACAGTGTTTTTTTTTTTTTTTAATTCAAGCATTTGTTTCAAAAAAATACTCCTGTCACTCATTTATCGATAGTGACAGATTAGATGGGATTGACGCAACTACCAAAAGCAAGTTGCTGCCGTTTACCAAACTAGACTAGGATTTAGCCACTGATATCACAGCATACACCTATGTTTAAATACAATTTAGGTCAGAAGTTTTTTTCCTGCTGCTGTCTAACAAAACATTCTTAGGTAACCTAGAATTGAATCAAATATTAACCATACTCCCATTGTTCACTAAATAACTATTCATTTAAGACTGGCTAAAGGTTAAAAGCTCAGCGAAGACACAAAAACGATTACAACTGCATGTAAATAATTACCAGGCATGCGTGAACTGACCTATGATGGGGGTGTCACCCACCCGACCTTCCATCTTGTTCAGCATCCCACCAGTGGAAGTTGCACAGGCTAAGTTGCCCTCTAAGTCAACTGCTACTGCACCAACCGTGCCTGCCTTCCCCCTACAAAAGAGAGCAGAGCAGCAGAACATATGTGAGAGCTCTAGTTCTTTGTTCTGTTTTGCTTTTTCCTCTCCGTGTGTCAAATACACTCAGCGGCCACTTCATTAGGTACTCTTGTTTAACTGCTCAACACCAACGTCTGTGCAGTTTTCTACAGACTGGTATAAAGGACTGGAAAAGCTCTGCTTCTCTAAGATGTTTGTTTTTTAAATACCCAATCATTTTGCTGACCTGCTGTTAATTTACCCAATTAGTTGCCAAATATTCCTTTTCAGTCTTTTTTTAAAATTCAAAGTGAGATAACATCTTTCTGGGTTTGTGTAAGTCCTGCAAAGACTCGCTTCCTCCCTTTATCTACACTAAGAGACGTGAGTGAAGGAAGTCAGGGTCCACATTATGCAACACAGTGAGCTTATGGATCAGTGCGTGCACGGCAGAGATGTCTATTGATCGGTTACATACTAAAAGGGGTCATTTCATTTCATATTACTTTAAAAAAATGAATGCTAGCAAGCTTAAAACTGTTGTGTCTCACATTTGGCACTCCACAGGGTTGGCATCAGGTGCAAGGTTCTTCCTCCAGCGCATGCGGGAATACTCAGTGATGAGGGACTCCTGGGGGACCTCCTCGATCCCCATGGATCGAGCAAACTGATTAGCACCTTCGGCTGTCAGATACGCGTGACTGGTCTGAAGCAAAGATCAAAGTTCACACTGTAAACAGTTACAGAGCACATTTGAAATACTGTGCTTCGTCCAGACTATACTAACGGTTTCAGTTCAAGCATATAGAATTTTGTTCTTATCAGAAGAAGGAATCATAGCTACAGCTGTAAACATGATTCCACACAGTTCCTGCAGTTCAGTCAGGAGAAACATGCATACCTTGTCCATAACAAGTCTTGCTAGCTGGATGGGGTTAGCTATGTTGCGTACTGCGGACACTGCTCCGCTTGCCAGTGTTTTGCCATCCATCACGATAGCATCCATCTCCACCTCTCCTTTGATGTTCAGCACTGACCCACAGCCTAAAATATGAATTGAGAAATGATGCAGCTCCAAGAATCTTTAGTGTCCTGCAGTGACATATGGCCTGTTGGTGTCTCTTAGGTGATCAGAGCTACACGCAGCAGGTTTACTCAACAACTAAACTGTTTGTTTCTTCTCATCCCAACAAATTCTTATTGACTGCTTTACTTTCACAAAAGAAATACCACAACATCAGTGAAATATATAAAATCAAATAAGAAACATTTGTGTGGTATATTGGTCATATTTTTTTGTGCAGTGTTTTTTTAACCATTTGAATTTGATTCCTTGTGCAACCCAATATTTACAATTTTCTTACACCATCTCACTGTCCAAACAAACAAAAAAGGTAATATATTCATTTCTCTCTGTTTCATGTGTCACTTCATTTCAATATTCACTTACTATGTATATATGTATATATATATATATATGTAACATCATATATATATATATATATATATTTTTTTTTTTTTAACTTTTATTTAACTTTTTTCCATAACAAATTCTGAGTTTCTCCATTACCTGCATTGAAGGCAGGGTTATTCTCCATCTGGCTCACAGCCTCCACCACAGCATCCATGCTGCTGCCCCCTCCCTTGAGGATAGCGTACCCTGTCCGCACTGCTGCACAAACCCCTGAAATGGACAGTTCCATCCGCTCCTTTGGGACAAACCCTGCCCCTCCATGCACCACCACCACTGGCAAGAGGTCAGTCATCTGGCAAGAAGTGTCACTCAAATAATATCTGGTGAATTTTTCAGCACAAACAGATATTTTTAACGCACGCACACACGTACACAAACACACAAACACGCACACGGGTTATGTTAAGCAACAGGTATTGTTACGACCCGGCTCTGCTAGGCGACAGCGGATGTAACATAAATGAGCCCAGAGACCAGGAGGTTAGATAAAAAGAAAAACATGAGGTTTATTAACACAACTGAAAACTGTTAGTGAAACAGCTCACTAGGCAATAGAGGGATTTTAGACAAACATAACAAACAACTCAAGTAACACTACTAACACCAGTAGAACACTATTCATCTAAACATCTCACGGGAGGCGGAGGCGGAGGCAAAGGCAAGAGGGACAGTCTACACAGTCTGTTCGAATCAACAAGTCCCTCCACGAATGAAGAATCCACAGCCTTTTATATTCTCAGGTAATTGCAGGCAGCTGTGTCATTGGTCTGTCGTACTCAAGGCTCCTGCAGCAGCCAATGGTGTGAGTGGTCTGACACGCTCTGATCTGCATGAAGTTGGGGCGGGTATAGGTCCGGGCCAGCCAATCCCCCGTGAGTCCTGGAGCACTTTGGCTACGTTCACACTGCAGGTCTTAATGCTCAATTCCGATTTTTTGATCAAATCCGATTTTTTTGTCTGCTTGTTCACACTACAAATAAAATGCGACAGCAAACGCGCTCTAGTGTGAACGCTCAAAGCGGCCCGCATGCGCAAAAGAAGACGTCACACACAACGCGCTCTGTTTAGACCCAGAACAAACTATATTGTTTGACTGATGGCCCTTAATATAAAGACTTCGGACTTCATGTTTCCCGATTTTTGCTTTAAGTTATTTTGTTATTTACATAATAATGTAGATAACCTAATAATGATCCTTATTGCTGTTTTAGAGGAGCGGTGCTTCAAAGGATAGTTGCAGATTTCTGTCAGAACCTGCAGGTTATGCAGTACAAATAAAATGTTAACGTTTCTCCAACGTTGTCTTCCCAGCAGTTTCACCGGATGGCCAGGAAGCGTTCGCGATGTCTTCTCTGGCGCTGATAATTGGCGTCTGTCTTGTGTCAGTGACGTAAAAGACGGATTTAATGCGACTTGACCGTTCACACAGCAGTCGCTTTCTGAGACATCGGATATGTATCGGATTCAGTACCACATACGAAAGTGACCCAGATCGGATTTGAAAATATCGGATTTGTGCCGTTCACACTGTCACACCATGATCGGATATGGGTCGCATAGGGTCAAAAAAATCGGATTTGATGCGCTTTCGCCTGCAGTGTGAACGTAGCCTTTGATTTCCATAGAGGAAGGAGGGGCCACCTGAGGCCAGAGGCCGTAACAGTATAAAAAGGCCAACCTGTCTTTTTACAAAAAATAAGACTTCAGCACTGCTTAACAGATGATAAAAAAAGCACAAATATTCTGGACTTCTGTTAAGAAACAAACAAAGAAATAAACAAAACAAAAAAAAATTCCAGAAATTCAGAAACATTATCTCCAACTGGTAAATCATTTGCATGTTTTGGTCAAGAGCTTCTCTTTAACAGCGAGGTTGTCTTCTTGTTTTGTTTTGTTTTTTATGCCAGCATATGCCAGTTCTATGGGAATCCCCCATTTTGGTGCAAAAATAGGATTTTAAGCCTGTCAAACTCAGCTTTCATTGCAGAGTCAACTAAATTGTGTGTGTGTGTGTGTGTGTCATAACCGCATTAACACAGCAACTCTCCGTTAGCAAGTTAGCTCAGACGCCCCTGTGTGGGGCTGCACTGCGTCAACACGTTAGCTTGTTAATAGGGCTGGGTATCATCACTGATTTCTAGAATGGATTCGATTCCGATTCAAAAGGTCCCATATCGATTCGATCCATTATTCAGTAGGGCTGTTCGATATAACGATATATATCGGATGACGATATAAAAACATCTATCGTTTCATTTTACGCTATCGTTTGTTTCGTGGTGTCGCAAAATAAACTGTTTACGGCAATATTTTTTCATCGTTTTGATGGTCACTGTAATGGCTATTTGTTTCTTAATTGAGTTCTCTCTTTCTCTTATATTCTAAATAACGACACGTACTGGACGGACAAGAGGCTGTTTTACGCGTCGGTTTGTGCAACAACGACGGTAAAACCATCGTGTCGCTCCGCCATTCGCTTGCTTTATTTCCACAAACCTTTCACAACAAAAGCACCATATCCTTTTCAGGCCTTTCAAAATAAACTGAATCACGTGAAAGAGCAGATTATTTACGGATGAGAAGTAAAAAAGAGCCGCCAGGTGCTAAAAAATAAACCTTAGACTCAAACGTTAGAACAGGCTTTTCCCCGCAGCACGCCGTGTAATAAATACTCACAAAGAAAACGGCGGCTGTTACAACTTATGTCTAAAAATGTATCGTTTCATGCATCGGTTAAAACACTCGACTCCAGCTACATGACGCGCAGCTGGAAACACTTCACGCAAGTCGAGCTGCCCGAGATTCACAGAATTTACAGAAAATGTTACATTTTTGTGATTTATATCGTTATCTAGATGTCTTATATTGGGATATGAGATTTTGGTCATATCACACAGCCCTAATGCGGTTATGGCGTAAATGTCATTTTAACGAGATTAACGCTGACAGCACTAATTTTGGTGCACTTTAAAATGGATTCTGTCAGGCAGTCACCGGTTTTAATCAGGATCAGAATACTGCTTGAATGGGAAAGTGTTCAGAAGTGTTAAGTGGCTCAACAAACAAAAGCATTCTTCTGAAAATGGTCAGGTACAACAACTGGACTGAAAATGAGTGAAAGAGTATCCTGATGCATGCTCAGTCATCCAGGTAAGTAAATCCCCAAATCCTAACCTTATAAAAACCTTTATAAGATTGGGAAAGCCTGCAGTCAGCTGAGAGTGAAGAAGTCACTGGGATGAGTGACGAAACGTTTCTTCCACTAAAAACGCTACGTCCAGATAAACCTAATCGACCTTTTTTAGAGTGAAAGATAGTTTACCCAAAGGTGCAAGGTTTATTGCATGATGTTGAGCAATGTAATGTGCACATGTAAGCAGAACATACAAAGAGATATATTTTTAAATGTTTCATTGGGAAAAGAAACTCTGGATTCACATTTCAATCACAACAAAACTTTCAATAAAACACTTTTTGAATCACATTGCATGATTTTTAAATAATTTAATTGTAAAGCACTGCTGCACATATGTATTTGAACACCTGGCAATCAGCAAGAATTCTGGCTCTCAAAGACCTGTTACCATACCTTTAAAAAGTCCACATCTACAGACAGCTGTCTTGTGTCAGTGACGTAAAAGATGGATTTAATGCGACCTCACCATTGAAACAGCAGTCGCTTTCTAAAACATCGGATATGTATCGGATTCAGTGCCACATACCAAAGTGACCCAGATGGGATTTGAAAATATCGGATTTGTGCCGTTCACACTGTCACACCGTCTCAAAAGGGGAATATTTATTTGAATATCTATCGTGCACTTTCTTAAAATACAATTCACACACTCGAATTGCTGGCTTAATGCTTCCAATTCAATTCAATTCAATTCAATTTTATTTATATAGCGCCAAATCACAACAAAAGTCGCCTCAAGGCGCTTATCTGAAGGCGCACATGGGTCATGTGACAATGCCCTATTTACTAGGGGTGCAACGATACACAAAATTCACGGTTCGGTTCGGTTCGATACTTTGGTGTCACGGTTCGATATTTTTTCGATACAAAAAAATGTTCATGCCTTTTTAATTTGTCATTTATTAAAATTATAAATATATATTTTAACTCAAAAGTACAGTTTTTAAATTTAATGTTGCTGAAACAACAAAGTAATAAAAAAATAAATCTATCTGATTGAGAAATCACTCATCTTTGGAAAAGAGAGTTTATTACAGAGAAATGGCTCTTTCCAAAATAAAAGCTATACTATACGCTTCTTCTGGGCTATATTCTCAGCAGCATATTAAACATATCAGGTCCCCATAAGGAGAATCATGTGCTAACGGCTGTCTAAATGACTCGGGTAAAGTTTGTAGCATGCGTGCTTGTTGTTTTTGTCTGCTTCCACTTGTCTTTGCACTAGGATGATGTCGGCGTAAATGTGCAGTCATATTCGTTGTGTTCCCACTAGTGCTGTCAGCGTTATCTGAAATGACGTTAACGCCACAACACGGCAAATCTCCGTTAACGAGCTACCGTGGATTGCCCCGTGCGTGGGGCTGGACAGCGTCAACACGTTAACGAACAAACTGCGCTAACACACTAGTTCCCACCTATGCAATTGAGCATTGCGTGGCACATCCAACATACTGTTTTACTTTTGTCCATGACGCTTACCTTCAGGGTCATACGTCACATGAAAACCAAAATAGTTCCAAACGCCAGATCTGAATGAGGGTGGGGGAGGTTCAATTTGCCATGTTGCAAGGAGAGCTTAACTTCTGTCTCGCTAGCTTGCCCTGCGCTCAGTGAATCTGCGTTCGACTACTCCGCCTAGGCTGCACTGTCGAGCGCAGATCCACTGAGCGCTCAACACAGACAGCATCGTCAGAAGGAAAGTTGATAAAATAAATTAAAAATTTTGTATTGTTCGATACATATGCGTACCGAACCGAAAGCACTTTATCAAACGGTTCAATATCGATACGAGCATCGTTGCACCCCTACTATTTACGCGACTCCGTAATAGTGATGTGCGATACCACTGATTTCCTTTCCGATCTGATACCAAGTAATATTCAGGGTGGTATCGACGATACTGATCCGATACCGATACTTTGTGCAAAAACTTATTTTATTTATTGTATCTCAAATTATAGCATCATAATGATTACAGGACATCAGATTACTTGTTCTTATCACTTAATAATGCAGAGTTCATCATATAGAAATAAAAAACTGAAGTTGTGCCGATTTGAACACCTTGCCTGCCTGCAGCACTAAAGGACTCCATGAGAGACGTCCGTCTCACCCTAGCAGCACCTGTCCCTCTCCTCTTCAGTTCGCCTCAACATACGCTCGTCATATTCTGTGATATGATTTACTCTGAGGTGTTTGACAAGGTTAGTGATGTTGCCACAACCATACATGCCAACCCTCCCGATTTTTCCGGGAGAATCCCACCTTTCTCCAGATTTTCCACCCGGACAACAAAATTGAAAAACCATATCGCAGAATTCATAGCGCGGCCCAGCCAGTTCCAGTTTCCAACAATGACGGCAGCTTGCTTAGTTTTATCTCTCTCG